TTTAGTAAATGACATTGGTATTGTGTGATTTTATATAATTTTTGTTTAGTAACAGTTTTAATTTAGGGCTTGGTTTTTTGTAGAGAATTTGACGTTTGACTGGAATTTTGTATTTAATGGCTAGTTTTGTCCATGTGTGGATAATTCTTGAGCAGGTTTCAGGGACAAAAGGTAAACCGCAGTTTAATGTTCTGTTGTTGGGTTTGTTATTATCAATTTTGTTCATGAGTTGAGTTTTGTTGTGGTGACTGTTGGAGAGTTTTTTCAACAATAGCTAGTGGAAATTTGTTGGTGTGAATGAAGGAATGCTTTATGTGGTTGATTTCTTCATCTATATAGTCTGTTGAACAGGGTCTTGTGTCTGTGTTTATGAGGTTTTTCAGTGTATTTCCACCAGCTATTGTTGAAAAACTCTCCAACATTTGCTGTTATGTTAAACTTATATAAAAGTTTTTCTTTATTACCCATTCAAGCCATCTCCAAGCATTATTAGTTTCAAACTGGGTTCCTTGTCATCGAATTTGAAAATATAGTTAGTCTGCCTTGATCAGAAGTTACTGATAATAGTATGATATAGAATTTAATCACCTTTATTGATATTTTTAATTATTTATTTAGCCAATATCTTGTTTTCTTATAAAGATTTTCTAGGTTAGGTTTTCTATTTACCCCCAACTTCAAGGTTGTTGATAGAAGTTGCAAAGGTGTATTTTCACACATGCTAACTTTTAATTTGGTATTCTTGTCATTTCTCTGTTGCATGAGTTTGTGCTATGCCCTAGACATGGTGTTGTGTTACAAAAATTTTACTATCTGTGCAAATTCTTTATATAGAATATTGTATTGTGCATTTACTAAAACACTTGATTGACATTTTCAATAAATTGTAATATATGTAGTATTGTTTTCCACTCAGCTATTACAACATCAAAATGGGATTTGTTAGATCAGCAAACAGAACAAGAGCAGGAATTGGAAGATCTAGATGGACAGTAAGTCATCATTTGACAGTTTTTTGGTGTGTCACAACTAATTCATGTGGAGAATTGAATAAAACCAAGGCAGCTCAAAACTGATTGGTCAGAGAGGCATTACAGTTGGATGTTTTATTAAATCCACCCTATCCTAAATAAGTATCTATTAAATATAAAAAAATTACATCAACACACGAGTTTCCCAAAGGGATACTCAGTCGAGGTTTTATTCTCATTTCATTGTAAATCCGTAAAAGATGGAAAACGTTTGTTTTATATTTGGTTTGTTTTTAAAAACATTTATTTATACATATATATATATATATATATGATTTCATAGTTCTTTTTATCTGACAAACAAATGTTACTGAAATTTTACTTTTGTTTTATCTTTGCTTAACTGTTTGTGCATAGGTAGGGGTCAAAGTTTGCATACCACGATATTACAGTGTTACATTCAAAATCTGATTAAACAATCTTATTATCAATGTATGTCAATACACTTGACAAGAAAACATTATTTACAATTCAACTTTTAATGTTATACAAGTTTTAATTTCTTAATATCAAAATAAAGTATGTAAATAAATTATCAATCTTCATTTTTCTGTCTCACATGACATTTTTCCCCTGTAAATTGCTCTTTTTATTTCTACCTCTGTATGATTTTGGCATATAATATTGCTAAGCTATAATGTAAATTTATAACCTCCAGGCTTCTAGCTTTACTGAGATATAAACAAGAAAGTCAAATCCACATGCCATGCATGCCCTTCCTATCACATCCTGCCTTTCGAAAAATGTTAATGATTCTTTCTGAAATTTGCAATTGGATTGTTTATAACAACAGAAGGAAAATATTCCACTTTACTGGATTCCTACAAGACTACCTCATTCCAGACAACAGGTTTTTGAAATACTTGGCTTAGTAAATTGACGGACCAATCTTTAGTAAAAATAATCATGATTTTTTGTGTACAATATATTTGTAATGTTTAGTAAAAGCTTACCAAATTTCATGAAGATATATGTAATAAATCTAGAATGATAGTAAACATTAATTCTCCAATACAGACTTTGTGCACATAGGTTTAAAGTGGATTTTTCTAGGGATATACATGTGGTTCATTCAAATCTTTGTAGGTCTGACATTTTACAATAGTTTCAGCCAGCATGAATATTATAAAGGATTTTGCCACCATATTTTCAACAATTCACATGATTTTACACTCACCTGAATGGAATAGCTGTACATTTTTAAAAGTTAGAAATTACCAAAATGCAATTGTATTATTATTGTATGGTTTTATTTGTATTATTTTCTTTTATCTTAATTAGACCAAAGTGAAATTTTAAACTGGTTCAAGTATCCAACTCATTTTTCATATGATCTGAAATTTAGAGTTATCTTGTAGTTTGAAAATATGCCATTTATAATGTAAAAACAAATCTAAACTCTTTGAACAAAAGTGTGTATGAATAATATAAACTTCCCACTTTATTCAAGACTGGAATTATTATTTTCTAATTGTGCTTGAGATAATGTGTTGTGGAAATGAACTGGTACCCAGCCTTTTCAATAGCGTATCAGTTAATAACACAATGTGTTTGGGCAATATAACTTATCAAGCTTTCAGCATTTTGCAAGAGTACTATTTATTATACCTGTTTCACTTATAATAATAAAAACTAAATAAAGAATTTTCAGATGTAAAGCATCCTACATATATGAATTTTAAAATAAGTTGCAGGAGTATCTGGTAAAATGTAGTCTGTAATATAAACTTTTAAATGTAGCTTAATATTGTAATTAAGTTTTTTTTTTGTATTTTGCAAGTACAGCATGGATAAAATGTCATATTTTGTAAAAGTTTACAATTTCACGTGAATAAATTATGCAATGTTAATACTAGCAGATGAGTTGAAATAAGAGTAAAAAGTATACATTGCATGTAATCAAATACAGTATTGAAAGATACGTGAATTACCATTGTCATCTCTACATTGCACTGTAACATTGCAAACAGCATTAAACATGATGTATACTAAGCTGTGTTAAAGCTGATATTTTAACATTTGTAGGCCAATGGAGGAAGACGTGGAACAAAAAGTTGAAGTAGTTGTACAAGAAACTGATAATGATTCACAACAGGATTCTCTTTCCGTACTGGAGGCCCTAAAGAATGAAGTCGGTGAAGAGAGACGGGCAAAGCTTCGAGAGATTGAGGTTAGAGTGTGCAATTTTGTTTCTAAACAACTTACAAAAATCAGTAGTTTTTATTTCTAAGATACTGTGGTTGTCAAAATGACTAACATTGGTTGATAAGATGATTATTAAAAATCTGAACCACCATAATAATAATAATATTAAAAAAAGTGTTACAGTGCTATAGCGTTTGTGTGTGTTCATTTCCAATGTTTATATTCCAGACTTCTGTATCATATAAAGTGGTCAGCATCTTCTGAGGTCATATTATGACCTGTAATGTAATCTCCCAAGGAATATTCTATGACTGGAAAAAATGAATGATTATCAATAAGTATTATACTACATTAAAGGGTACAACATGATGACTTAAATAAGATTGTCTTGTGGGAAGTGTCAAGGTCTTAGTACGTTCGTGTTACTGAATGTGATCTAAGTGTGATAAGCCAAGTTTGGATGCCATATTTACAATGCAAAGCTTCTTTTTTTCACTGACCAATATGTAAAGATTAAGAATTATACCAGAATTTTAGTCAGCAATTAGTAGAAAGATTTAAAGTTACAGATTAATACAGTAAGTAAAATTGTCAATAACGTACAAGTTTGAATAGTCTCAGTTTTTACAAGATTAAAAAGAAAAACTTTTGCATATTCATAATTCATTGAACTATAAATTTACAAATCTTGTTAACAAAAGTGAAATTTACTTCTTAAGAAAATAACAACGGACGATTAATGACCTTCATCACAGCTAAATTAGTACTGTCGTCAACATCATTGCTTACCAATTACAATTATCCATGCCTCAGTATTTTTGTAGCCTTTTCCACAATGCTTTGATATTATAAATTGCGTTTACCAATATGAATGAGTCAGGCATGGAGTGGAAAAAATAATACTTGTTTTATACTCTGAACCTATGCATGATTCAGTTGATAATATAACGTGAGATGTACTAATTTTTTGTCACATAAAAAAAAGGTTGAAATAATATTTTTTGTTTTTAGTAATGTAACTTTTTTGTTTTTTTTCCTGCAAGGAACTTTGTATTTTTCTATGTAAAAACTGGACTGAAAAATAAAGTTAGATAAAACTGACAAAAATACTTTGCTGATTCAAAAATATAGAATAAATTAGTAGTTTAGACTTTAGCATTCAAACAATTTTATGCACATGTGTAATTAAATAACTTGCAATTTAACCCTTTAATTACCAATTTCTTTTATGTTGTAACATTACTTATAAATTTGTGTTTAACCATTCAAACAAAAATGATGTTAGTATCAGTGTTGTTTTTAGGATTTTTCTCAAGTGCGCCAAACCCCCACTGACTTCCAGAAAGTGGGTATCAACTTCACAAATCATAACATGATCAAGTAACTTTTATTTGATAAAACAGTAAATTGAATCATTGCAGTTTGTTTACTTCATGTATGTATTGAAAATATCTGTGCATTCAGTGACAAAACTTACATTGCAGTCCTCTTCTCTGCACCTTTTTTTCTTTATTTCTTTCTGTTTTTGCATCATTTTGATGGAAAAATGTAGTAATTTTTAAAAAAATTAACCACTTCTTCAAACATCTTCACACCTTTCGTTTTTCCGCCATTTTCAATTATCGATATCCTATAATGTCAAGGGAATTTCCCGCAAAACCAAATGATGTCATAACACAGTCAATCACATTCTTTTGCATATCCAAATGAGCTAATTCCTGTTTAGAATTTTCTGGTTATGATCACGATCTATCGTTACAAAGTCATTCATAATACATTTCGAAAGGTGGGTGCACACGAAAAATTAAAATGCGTACTCCTATATTTTTATGTGTGAACTAATATGCAGACAAACGATTTTATGCCAGTGGCAATCAGAATAGCCTAAATACGCAAAGTATATATCCTAGAAGCAACACTGTTAGTAAATACCATTTTAATTTTTAGTTAAATAAAAAAAATATCTTTTGAAAGCCTAATTTGAATGTGTATGTGCATTTACATGTAAAAGAACTGTTTATTGAATATTTGTTAGTCTACAAGATTACTTCAGGTTTTGGCCAGTTTAACAATAGTGTTAAATCTTTTGTAATGAACATTACTTCTCTTCAGTTGATACTTTGTTTTGTACACTAGTTAAAAGTCATGAAGTTTCAAGATGAACTTGAGTGTAGAAAACGTAGTAGGAAATCTGGTATGACAATTTCTGAACAAGTCCAACACTACAGAGAGAAACTGATTCGAAAGGTAAGTTGGCTTAAGCAAATTGCCAGTCAGTTTGGTTGCATGTGTTTATTTCAGTACAAATACTTCATTCTAATGTCGTACACACACACACACACCACCACCATTTGTTGGTTCACAAGTAAGCCTAAGGACTTATAACACTAAAAATCAGTTTTTAATACTAGTAGTGCACTCAGCACAGGTAGCCCATTGTACTTAATAACAAAGCATCTTTCTAAAAGCTGTGATGTCATTTTTTCTTAACCCTTAAAGTCTTGTGGTAATATATTGCCTTTTCTGAATTCACAATCATAAAAATTAATAACTCATAAACATCACTCATATACACACAGCTTGATAAGCATCGAACATAAGCTTATTTTCTTATTTGGCAAATTCACAACTTATAAGGAAATAAAAATTACTACATGACTTAGTTTAATATTCACTAGAAACAATATAATCATGTGGTGCAGGATCACTCCTTTTAAACATTATGTTCCAAAAAAACAACTAGCCACTAAATTCATGTCGGGGCAAAGTCCACCATTACTTTAAAGTTACCAGTGGGAAGTTTTGTAAGCAAAATAAACCAAAAGGCACAGGCCTAATAAAATTAACCCTTTAAGAAAACCAAACAGTGGCACGTTGTATTGTAAAGCATGTGAACAAAAAAAGGCTTCTGTTGTTATAACTAAAAGCATAGATATTTACATTGCATAAAAGGGAAACAGTCTCAGCTTTTATATCATAATACCTCTGATTCTGTTAACTTTAGAAATTTGAAAAAATGTAGTTGAATTTTAGCTATTGACACTACCAATTTCAAAAATTCAGTTTTCAAACTATTTAAGTTATAGATAAGCAACAGACATGTACAAAGACCACAGATTTGCTGCTGTGATTCATATCTTAACAAATTTAAATATTTGTACTATTTCCCCCCTCCAAAAAAAGAAAATATTTATTTATTTATATAAAAGACATGAAGATAGAAGTTTTTCTAAACATCACCAATTCCACCTAGGCTACTTTTGTAATTAGTGTTCCAAGACTTTCTCTACTCATTTCAACTTTGTTCATTTAGGTTTTTGAGATGAGAAATAATATTTTATAAGAATTATCAATAATAATTCATTTGTCTGGCTTGAAAATATTTTCTAGGAAAGAGAAAAGCTAGAAGAAGAACATGAAAGAGAACAAGAACGATTGCGAAAAGAACACTTAGTACAACAGAGCACTTCTGCATCACGATCTGGATCACATTCTAAATCTAGGTCAAGGTCCAAGTCATCAGAAGACAGTAGAAGTCAGAGTCCAGACTATCATTCCAGTTCTTCTAGAGAAAGAGATCGAAACAAGAAGGGAAGCCCATTGTATGTAGCCTCTCCAGGGGATTTTCGACAGAAGTCATCCCGATCTCCTCGTTTATCCAAGTCGCATCGCTCAAAGTCCCCGAAAAAATCTCGCCGGTAAGTTAATTCTAGTTTACCTTATACAGTCATTTCTACCAGTGAGTAAGGAGAGAATTTCTTGAAAATTTCTTCTTTATCTATGAACGTAATTATAGGGATGAGAATTTCTTTTCAACTGGCAGTTTACGACTTTTTTTGGATGTGCTGAGATAAATGAGCACCATATTAAAACTAGCATGTGTTGTTGTTTTGTTTAGAGATTAAAATGCACACAAGGCAAGAGAAATTCTGCTGGTTATGATTTGACAAAGTAGTGACATACCAATTCTGTGATTGATTTCTTTAAAGAATAATTTCCTTGAAATAATTAAATGTCTTATTGTACTGTTGGTAATACACAAATATAAGACGATAAAGAAGCAGTACTTCTGCATGAGTTATCCATTGAAATATTAAGTTAAAATGCACCTTTTCCTGGGACTATTCTTAACTCTGTGATTAAGATAACAATGTGTAATGTTCAAACTTTTATTAGAACTAAATCTCTAACATAAAATTTAAATCAGAATCAGAATTACCTCGTTTATTTTCCCTCTTTGTAGGTCTAAAAGCCGAAGTCCAAAGCGATCAAAACGATCTAGATCTAGGTCACCCCACAGAAGAAGGTCTTCACCAGGAAACTTACACCGGAAGTCCCACAAATCAAAAAAGAGTAAACACTAATCATTGCAAGTTGAACTTGTATGTGTGTCTTTAGCTGGTGTTTTTATGAGAAAATTGTTTCTAAACTTCTCTCTGTAATTATTTTGGTTGCTGAAGTCCTGTTCTGTGTAAAGTTGAACAGTTGCATTATTAGGTGTGTCTTGTTAGAAATATTAAATACCCCCCTTAACGAAAGTTTTTAAGTATAGCCACTCAGTTTGTATTAAATTTTTTTTATTTTTTATGTATATATACACACATGGCAGATATCCCATAAGTATATAAAAAAATACAAAACTCCACACACCAGTATGTACATAAAAGTTAAAAATAGCACATAGCTGTCTTATTTTCTAACAATGATGCAAAGAAATTTCTGTAGAAATGTTCAAAATAAGGAAACCTCAAGAAATTATGTATAAAAAGTTCTGGTTTAAACATGATCAAAGCATAGACTACAATTGTGTTATGCTGATTTTAGTGACAATGATGAAATTGTTTAACCCAAAACAATGTTACGTAGTAAGGGCTACAGGGTTTCCAATTTAGGAATGTCTTAACATGAAAAGGCAGCATTCTAGGTAAATCATGATTTAAGGTAGGTCTTCCTTCAGCACAAGTAAAAATTCTATATATTGTTCCCGCTATAACATTATTACCCACAAAACTGTAAGTCTAATAAAACAAAGAACAAAAACCTACAACTTCAAGTACACGCAAACAATCCATCACCCAGACACAACTGTTATGGAACCTGTGTACTATAGTACAGAATCTTACTTCTTCACTTCAGCTGTAATTCATCGTGAAAGACTTCTTACACTTTAACTAATAGTCTGTTAAAGGGTGAAACCTTCCATACAAACAATAAAATATACTAGGTACTGCTTGCTCAAAGTTATGGTAGCAATTACAGGATAGTATATAACTTAACACACAGTCATTATTATAGAAATAACTGAATTTTTAACAAGTACCTTCTAATGTATTCTGGAAAGAACAAAACTACACACTCTAAAATTTTGCACAGTAAAGTATTTAGCTGAAAATCCAAGCTTTATTACAGATTTACATAATATATTGATAAACATTCTCAATGAAGTATTCATCTTGAACCATAGAACAAAGTTAAGTAGGAAATTAACTTGTTTTATACATAATGTATAGTTTACTCAACAGTAACAAAAGACTAAGGCACTTAAGAAAAAACCTAGGTGACCTAGGCATAAACCATGGAAATTTTAAACGATTATGTAATGATGACCCATAAAACCTTATAATTTGTAACTGAAGGTATATTGTAAGGCACATCATGAACAAAATACTGGACTTCTTTAAATGCATAATAGTAAACAGTATCACAATTCAATATTGAAGAAACTCCTGAACCCAAGAATCAACTAAAAATATTGTCTTTACAAAATGAATGAGGATTCTATATTGTCAAGCATTTACAATAAACATTTTTCATGAATGTTCTCTTTAACTGATTAAAAACATCTTCAGATTGATATTCATGCATTGGTGTGTGTATTAGCCATTATTCATACCCAGGTCATCAAGTTGTCCTTGTTAGCATTAAGCACATCTGATAGAATATGTTCCATGAAGTCTTCCTGTAGAGTAAGAGAGGCAGTTAATGTACTCAACTCGATAGCAAGGACAGTATTAACTCTTAACCTGACAAAGAAACAAAATACTTCAATAATTCTTTTATCTTTTACACTGGCAAAAAAAATTTTGTTTTGGAAAAATGTGATACAGCTGGACCCGTTTGACAAATATTCTTTATAGTATTACCTACATCTGTTCAGTTTTATTATTATTATAATTAATGAGGCAAAAAATAATTAAATCTAGCTTATATAAATGTTTAAAAGCTTGTACATCTACAAAATATTTATATTTCATAAAAAGCTCAAAAGAAAAAATACACCTTTTAGGTTTTACAGGTAATGTCATGAAATAAATCTACTTATTAAAAATACAGAGTAATGTTCAACTGACAAATTCAGAAGTTTCTCTAAAACTGAATTTATAAATGTGACATAAAATATCTAAAGATATGGAAGGTAGTGAATTACTTGGACATCGACCTTTCAGCAGCTAAGCATAACAAGTTGCAATCTACAAAACAATATTCCAGATGCCATGTTACTCTTGGAAGTGTTTTGCACTTTTACCAAACACTAATAAGTTTCTGCAATCTAAAACCACACAACTTGACAAACTTTTTACAGTCTCTCCACTGTACATGGATTTTGCCTTCTAAGATCGTAAAGTAGACCAAAGACCCAAAAGTTTATTGGAACTACATCAAAGTATTTTGTCAGGTAAGTGATCAAATGAAAATGTCGTAATTACAGTTTCTTTGCTATTTTTCTCCTGACAATAAATAAATAACCATTGATTTTGAAGTATGGCTGGAAGCTTGAGCCTTTGTCAACATCAAATGTTACTACTACTATTAACGAGAATTATTGACAAGAAATGCGGGATTGTTTGTACCAATGGGCTTTTACATTGGCTTGGGTTAGGATGTTGTTTTTAGGCCAATTTTTATTCTAAATGCTTTCTAAGTTTTTTCACCTCTGTGATGAAAAAAAAGGAAGATTTTCATTGAAATTATTTGTATTTTGACTGAACATCATTCATCAATGTCACTGTATAAACATTTGTCCTCAAAAAGACTTATGTCTTTCTACCCATAAGTGTATCCACTGCACTGTAAAAGACAGAAATTAACTGTGAACCAAATATACTATATAATTCAGAAGTCCACTGTCAGGCACATAATTTAAGCTGACAATTACCAAACTTGGTGCACAACAGTTATAAGGCATAAATGCAAATGAAGTAAACAATTAACAGATGTATTCAAAGTGCTGTCTAAATAAGACAAATGCTAGTATGGCAGCTTATCGTAATTGTTCATTGTCTGCCTGTATAACATCTATGCATAATGATCATTTAATAAATAGCTGCTGACAAACATTTCCTGTCATCTGATGCACAAAGGAAGGAGTTCCAGCAAAAGCCTAAGCATTCTGATTCGATGTTTTACTGCATATGAATGTAAAGAATAATGATATTTTGGTTACAAATTTCAAAAAAGCAAATTTTGAAGGGATGTGACAAGAATGATATGTTGTGAAATGGGCAGCTGAGTTATTTGAAAACACTGATCAAATGTGAAAATTTTTTTAAGTATTCAAGGTAAACATATTCCTTATAGAAAGAAAATGGTGGCTGCAAGTAAAAAACCAGGTTGGCTCACAATGAGTATAAGTGATAAAATTAAAGAAAAGTGTCATAAATTTAAATTTTACTGATGAAGATTTAAGCAGTATTCCACATCTTGAACAGTTGATAGATGGAAACAAAATTGAAGATGACTGCATTAATTCTGAGCTTCTTAAGAAAGAATTGGGAAGTTTAAAGAAAGATAAGGCTCCTGGGCCAGATAATATTTATCCAAGGGTTTTGAAGAAGGTTAAGAATTGGATATGTGAGTCACTTACTACTATTTTTTGTAAGTCCTTGAATAGTGGTCAGGTACCAGAGGTTTGGAAGTTGGCTAATGTTACTTCTCTTTTCAAGGGAGATGATCAAAATAGTCTCAGTAATTATAGACCCATTAGTCTTACATCAGTTGTGGGACAAGTTTTGGAAAGTCTGATAAAAGATACCTTGCACAGTCATTTAACAAAATTTAGAATTTTATTGGATAGTCAACATGGTTTCATTAAGGGAAAATCTTACCTTACAAATCTTTTTGACATTCTTTGAAAAGGTTACTGCTTATGTAGATGAGGGTAAGGGTGTATATTTGATGTATCTGGATTTTCAGAAAGCATTTGACAAGGTGCCACATAAAAGGCTTGTAAAAATAATCATCTCTAGAGATGTGGGGGATAAATTAACTAATTGGATGGAATAAAGCAGAGGGTTGTTATAAATGGAGTTCAGACAAACTGCATTAATGTCACAAGTGGAGTACCTCGGGGCTCAGTCTTAGGATCTTTGCTTTTTTTTTTATTTACACCAAGACAGTTATGAAGAAATGGTCAATAAATTACTTACATTTGCTGATGATATTAAGGTCTTGGGTGTTGCTTCTACTTTACCAAAGGATTTAGATCATTTAGTAAGTTGAGCAAATAAATGCAAGGTAATGCATGTGGGTTATCATAATTTAAATTACAAGTATAATTTAGATGGGAATAACCTTAACAGTGTCATGAAAGAAAGGGATCTTGGTGTAATAGTCGATTAGTCTCTAAAGCCATCCAAGCAGTGTGCTGTTGTTAGTGGTAGGGCAAATAGGATTTTAAGTTCTATCTACAAAAATACTGAATTCAAGTCTAAAGAGGTTATAATTTCATTTTATAGGTCATTGGTTAGGCCACATTTGGAATATTGTGTTCAGTCTTGGTATCTTTTTCTTAGGAAGGACATTGAATTGTTGGTTCAAATGAGGATTACTAGAATGGTGCCTGGGAAGGAGAGGTTAGGATCTCTAAAATTGTTTACTCTTGAAGAAAGAAGAGTTCGGGGGATCTGATAGTAAAGGGAATTGATAGTGTTGATGCATCATCTTTTTTCCTACTTAATGGTGAGAATAGTAGGACTAGTGGACACAATTAGAAATGTTGGCAAGGTGGGAGTCATCTTCAGCTAAGACAGTTTCATTTTTCTAACAGGGTAGTTGGCCTTTAAATGTTGTAGAGGCAGTAAATTTAAGTGAATTTAAGATAATGCTTGATAACTACATGACTGATAAGGGCTGGCTTTAAGATTTTTTTTTTAGTATTTATTTATTTAACCCTATCGCCACGGGTATCCTTTACTATGCATGACACACGGTTTTAGTGTCTTACAATCAAAGTTTTATTAAACTACTTTTTGTTTACGTTGTACCAATTAGTGTACCATAAAATCTTAGATAATAATCCATATCTAATATTATATAAGTTTTAATTTCTTAAAGCAATATTTTAAAAAATTATGAATTTCCCCTAGTGTGACACATGTGATACATTTTCTCTACGTACCTTCTCTTTTCAATTTTATCCATAACCTCTCCAAAAAGTACAAAATTCAAGGTAAATTACTCACTATAAAATCTCGATTGTTCAGGCAAACCATAACTTTTATAGCTTTCAATTTTGTTTAGTTAGAGAGCTATCAAATACAAAAATCAGACCCCCTCGTGCCACACCCACCTGTAATATCCTCTCTTTCAGGATTTATTAATACCTCTCTCTTATGTTTAACTCTATATCAATAACCAATAGAAAGCCAAGGTTTCCATCTATCAAATGACATATTATATTGTGTTGTGTTCTGAACAGATAATCCTCAATGTCACTTGTTGTACAGACTTCGTTCCAGCAGGAAAGGTAATGAATAGCTACGATGAATTTATAATGGCTTTTGTCGCAGTTAGAAAGCCACAAACATTTTGAGAGTTAGGGGAAATTGTCTACTTTTTTTGCATGTTATTAGTCTATGTTCTTTGGTACATTATTTAAATAAATAAAACTTATTTAGTGCATTACTATCATAAGTATAAAAAAGTAGGGTTAAGTGTCAACGACAATCGACAGCAAGAAAAAGGAAGATTTGGGTAAATACTTTATTTCTTGTTTTTCATGTTTATTCTTTATTTATTATTATAAAAGTAACTAAAATTTAAAAAACAGGAATCTCTTTAGGTTAGTTACAGTTATATTAGGTAAAATAAACAATAATAATAAAAATATTTCACAACGCACGGAAGCAGCTTGTAGGTAATGTAACGTAAGCTGCACATTCCCCACGTGATTTACAACTTATAATGGTGCGAATAGTAGTTAGACATGGTTCAAAGGGCAATAAAACAATAATATTTAATTTGAAATAGATGTACACTGTTATGAGTTTAAAGCTACTTAGGATAAATATGTAGTTTCATGTTAAATTTGAAGTAATTCTAGAAAGAAAAAGAGGGTAGCTTAGATTTACTTCGATTTGGGGGGCTGGGAGTTATGAGGTCAGTCAAATTGACCAACCTTGTATATAGATAGGGTAGAGAAAATAACTGATAAAATAAAAAGTTTCACTGAAAACAAACATTTTAAATATATTTAGGAAGTTTTAGAGATTACAAAAATGAAATTTGAAATGAAGAAAAGTATCTTAACATGAAAATTACTTTCCACACGGACTATTCAAAACAAATACACAATATATTCACGGACAAATCTTTTTTTAGTTTATTAAAAATACGTAACTGAAAAATATGATTTTTTTGTGTGTGAAAAATTTATAATGTTTACTGAAAGACTGCCAAATTTCATAAAGATATATACACACTACATTAAAAGTTACTAGTATCAAATCTATAAAGACTTAGAACGAGTACAAAGAGGTAACGTGGTTGGTCAACCCGAGCCCATGTTGTGAGAGAGAAAAGTTTAGTTTAGAGGATGGGACAACAGAGATGAACCAACAGGTCCCTTGTTGTCCCTAAACATTATGTTATTAACATATACAAGTAGTTCAAGTAATATGGAAGTAACCCTCTATATCACAGTGAGCCAGAACTGTCATAAGAGTTGCAAGTGCATATATTTATATATACTCAAAGCTTTGATTTGCTTATATAAAGCCAAAGTATGACTACCAGTCCCTAATTATCTTGAGAGAAGTGTATAACAAGTAAGCACCTTTTTAATGTGTACGTGATGAAATATCATGTGAACCAAATACTTCAATGGGCCATTGCATTAGAGGGAAAATTTGTACTTTACATACAAAACATTTTGGGGGGAGTTGTATTTTGTACATGAATGCACAAATTTTAAAGAATGTAAAGGCAGTACTGTGTATTTAATACAGTTAAGTGACCTGCCTAGACTACTCGCATAAGAGGTTAGGTACGTAGAGTTCTGCACAAATCAGATTGCCGTGTGGGACATTTCAGTCACTATGAGGTTAAATCTATTCCCCAACGTGTGATGCCCACCAAACACCTCTAGTACAAAAGACACTTTGAGCTGAACGGTGTGATAAAAAATGACAAGCTGATCAACTTATCTAACTGCACTCAAAACCTGGGTATCAGGGGGCAAGTATTAACACACCAAAGAGTGATGGTACCAGTGCTCTGAGTGTGTATAAACTAATGAAAAACCTCACACACAAAACTTTAACACTCAAACACCACCATCCGAGATAGGAATCCGAGGGATGACAGATCCATTCCCCAAATACCTTTCCCTTTGTAATGCACAGTACTATCTACACCCACTCCTACCTTACGCTTATGGTGATGTCATCCATACTTCTCTACTTCTAATTTCATTTTTGCATAGTTTAAAGACGATTTAACAGCTTCTCACACTTTTAATTATATAGGTACACTATCTGATGTTTATTTAAAGTTGCCATTAGATTTGGGAGATTACAGAAACCATTTTACAAAGTACAGTAAGTCATAGTGGGGGTGAAGGTTGTAGTGAATTGTATATGAGGTCAAGTTTCCCTGATGCCCTTAGATTACACATATCTTCTTACCTGAAGGCTTGGAAGCAAATCATCTGAATCCATATTTTCCATTCCTAAATCTAGATTTGTATTTTGTAAACCTTCTGGTCCAATTTCAGTCCCTGCATGCTGATGAGGATCTACAATAAAAAGATCAGTATATAAACTTAATGCATTGAACAGATGCTACATTTTGACATGATCTTTTTTAAAAAAATAAATAGTGAGGGAGATGGTCATTCACAATTTTGTATTTTATTTTGATACACCTAGCATGCTATCCATTGTGAAGTAAGCTCATCAACCAAGTAACAGAAATGTATTTTGTGGAAGTATTTTATGTTCAAACAGTTATTGCTTGCCATCCTAAGTAATAACATGTTTATTCACAATAACTTGAGACACAGTTTCACTTTAATAGCAATTCAACTTAACGGAAACAGGTACTGTAGAAATAATTGGACTTCCAGTACGTATCAGCAATGAACTGACACGTTCAAAGCTTTGGAGTGATATTGATAAAGGTGTAGGTTTCTTAAAGAGTGTGTTCTGACATAGATATAATTCTAAGTTAAGATTTCTCAGTGTCACATGCATTAGAAGCAATGTCTATTACACACAAAAAGAGAGAGTGTAATGTGCAACTTTTATTCATTTGGAAAATACTGTCAAAAGTGGTGAAATTATGACAAAAATCAATATCTCCAGTAAGAACTATATGTATGTGGTATGTTCAGTAGCAGTAATATGATGTACATGTGCATATAACTTACCGCTCAAAAAAAAACGTTACCTCAAAACAATTCTATGTTAGGAATGGTAAAGATAAAGAATTGTATCTTATCCAAAATTATAAAAAATTATTATATTGTTTTAAACAAAAACATCACCACTATTCAGTGGAGTTTGTGCAATAATCATTTCTTTCATTATGCTACTAGTAAAAAAAAACGTTTATTGAAAATATCAGACCTTAAATATATCCATTACTTTTAGGCTGTCACATTATAGTAAAGAAATAGTGCACATTTTGATACAAAGGGTTCAAAAAAAGGTCTCACTCTTATTAATAACTCAAATTGATACAGATGCTGAATTTAAATCTATTTCATAATAAAAGAAGAAAACCAACTATAATCAAGATCTTGTATGTAGATTATTCTATGGGCTCATGTCTATATATTGGGATAAGAAACCTACACCCCAAAAAAAAGTATAACCCATGCTTTTCAACATTAAGTAACAAAATATTGCTCTCTGACATAATATCAAGAATCCCCAGCACTGCCTAAAACAAATGCTGATTTGATAGGGAGCTAGACAACCTTTCCTTTTTAAAGCAAACTGAATTCTACTATCACTCATGTTTCAATTTCAATTAGAAACAGTGTTCCCTCTAAGCTGCGAACCTGCACAACAGCCAATCAAGAGCCATGCACTTCATTATTCCAGCCACGCACATCCTCAGTAATGGTGAGGAGTCTCAAGATATTGACGGTCTGAAGCCCAAATAACCAACTGGTAGCATTGCAAAGTGGCCTAATGATCTAATACAGTTGATGGCCTCACTAGTATCAAGTGAATGTGAAGATGTGTTTTACCTGTTTTTTTTTTGGGGGGGGGGATTTATCACATGGATTGAAACAATTGGAGGGAACATTGGGTAGAATATTCATGATCTTGTGATTAAAAAGTTGGTTATTTGCTTTAAATGGCAAGTGGACACTGAGAAGTGTACAGATCATCATTCTTTTTTGTGTAAAAAGTGATTAGTAATACATTAATACCGTGGTTGGAGTTCTTAACCTCACTAGTATAAGAAGTACAGTACTTTCTTGCAGTATGTCTGACAATCCCTTCTGTTTTATTTTTTTACCTCCTTGACTATATCTCATGATTTTAGATTAGCTTTAAGTAGGCTTAAATTTATTTTGATGTATTTAATCACTGTGTTACTTGTATAAAACAGATGTGAATCTGATGTGTTAACTTTCTGAGCATTTTTTTCCCATATATCTGTTTTGAAATCGATCTTAATGGAGTAACAACTTTCTCAATCATCTGGTTACCTGCTTAAATATGTTAGACTTCTCTTCTCTCCATTATCACACTTCTATCTACAAGTCAGAAAAGCTAATTCAGTTACTATTACAAACAAGGATTAAATTCAATTGGAAAACTCAAGGGAAAAGGGAGGGACAGGAGCTACAGCTTACAGAACATGAAGCTAAAGTGGTGTTATTAGATAACATTACGATTCTGAGAAAAAAGCTAAAACATCAGTTTCATACATGTGAATTTGTGCAGGTCTGGAAGACATTCTGGAAAGAGTGCATCACTGGCCAGGAGTTACATTTGTATGGTTCATGCTTATAGTACTTAAGCTAGATCTAGATCCTTCACTAGCTCTTCCCAAATCTCTTGATTCATCAATACATGAAGTTCATACTCTAATGAACCCATACTGTTGCTACAATGACTCTTACATTTGCATGATTTACATTTTCATCATCCAATTATACTTGATATCATCTCAATACCAATTGTAACCTATTGAACAACAGGTTCCTTTCAATGCGTGCAGACTATCGTCTATGTGTTGTAATGAAAACTCACTGACTCGTGACCACATTGGACCACTGCATTCCATCCTGATTTTTCACAATGATTGCTGAAGATGACCTCGGATTCTCAAATAGTTGGATTATTTTTAGAAATTGGCACCAGTTTCCAGGTGCCCATTGTGAAAAATACTTGGGAATCTAGGTCCATTTGGATAATAAAAAACTTGCATTTATCACAAATATTAATGCTTCAAGTGCATAATACATAGTTAAATGCTCTATACACATATTACACATACATTTCCTTTTTTCATGTCTGTTGAAATGTTTCAATATTAATACAAAGCCTGTTTCAACCTTATCTTTATTATGCCAACCACAGATCCACACTTACAATAGCACTGATTTCATATTTTCTACATTTACTTTAAATTTCCAAATTAATAATTGATACCCAGGTAGTAAAATACTCCTGTAAAGTCAGGTAACTTAAAACCCAACACTTGTCCGGGTTTTTGAGTGCCAATAGCGACATCTAATTATTTTTGTCCTTCAACATCCATTCTACAGGGTGTAATACTTGCCATTAATAAAAATAAAGCAAGGTACAACCCACTTTATAAAACTGTCATTTAGAAAAAATTTATCTTACTTGTAATTCAATAAATTATAACCTCCATCAAGTAGGAGTTTGTAACATAACTAACAGGAAGGCAAAATAATCAAACTGTGGTTTTGAACACCCAGAAGCAACATGAGAAATGACATGCAAGAATGCCTTTCTAACAGACAGTATGAATAGCAAAACAATGTCTGTGTCTAGTGGATTTTATTTGGATTATAGTTGTAACACCCAACAACAAAGTGCGAGATTAAATAAAATTACCTATGCATTCGATGGAATAACAATAATCAAGAGATCATGCTGGTACAATACTGTAGCATTAGTATTACAGGTGCTGCTTAGTATTCTTGAAACAGCATCTCGCACACCTTTTTTAAATAAATATCCATGTCACATTGTAACTGGTCTTGCGTATACTATCACAGCTGTGGTACACTTCAGAGGGGTCTATGTAAGCAAAGCATATGAACTCTTGTTTTCATTTAAGTTTGTTTTTTTAGAAAACTTGTGTGTTGTACTCGAAATAATTATAGATTATGCATTACCACTGATAAAAATAACCATCTTTTCAAAATTATCAACCATGTAATAGGTATTGTTGTGCTAAAATAAAGTTTCTTTAGTTTGGCCATTTCTCTGGATGTCGACTTCATCTATGGATAGTTCAGGGCACAGTTCTGTGTGCATGATTGGTTGTTGGAAACCTAGGAGCCCAGTAACTAACTCCCCACTCAAATCACAAGATGGTGACAAGTGATTGGCAGAAAACTCGTGCAGGGTTTTTGGATCCAAGATGAGGATCCTACACCCAGAAGACTTCTCCAAACCTGCTACAGATCTTATAACTGCTACCACACTCTACCAGCTGTTTCCTCCTCTTTATCTTATTGTCTTTCAAAGGACCTTTGTATGTTAACAAAGGAAAGCTAAAACTCTACAAAACAATTCCTGAGCTATAACACCAAAATACAATGTGAAGTCAACTTGAGCAGCAAGAAAGAAACTAAAATTTGTTTAACTAGAAAACAATACTAAAAAACAAACTGACAAATTTAGCATAAGTTTAGACAAAAAGACATTACAAACATTTTCACTATTTTTCAGGTAGGCTCCTGTTTGACGGCCAAAGGACTATAAGTAGCTAACTGTACAAGGACTTGAGCAAACGTGAGACATCAGGAGGTGAATTCTTAATAAGTTATAATGTTTATTATATATGTATTATACAGCTACATTACAATAACAGGTAAATCAGAGTTTCTGGATTCTCTATCCTCTACGAATATTGGAGATATGCCCTAATGTAACAAGTTCTAGGTTGGGCACATCCTGTTTGTGTAGAACTTGTTACTAAGTACAGAAACCTGTACTAGCATTTATTAATAAAGATATATGTCCATATACTAAAGTATAGAAAAGTTTTAATTTAGAATATTTTAACACAGCTATGTACCCCTTAACTCGAATTAATAAAAGACTTCTTAGCCCAGCAAAAAAAAATGTTCTAATTTCAGTGTATAAACCAATTTTACTATGGCATGAGCAAGTTTGTAAAAAATATCACACCATAATCCACATATACTACTTGTAATATATTTTTTACAGTATAGTACAAGAATGAGAAGACCTAGCCACTATCAGTATTCGTGCAATTAATTATTACCAGAAAATACATGTCGATGCCTGACGATTAGAATATTACCTTGAGCTAGTACTAACTTGTGTACTCTTCAGTGCCAATAGAATACTGTTTGTGTATTGCTTTTGGCATAAAACTTTAACAAACTGCAAGCTAGTTTCAATCATAGCACTGTCTTAATACATAGTCACAAAATCTGTCTTAAGCGTCACGTCTCATTCAGCCAAGAAGAGATTATTGACATCATTTGAAGGGCCAGTAGCATTGATTTATGTTACTAAGTAAACGCATACAAAAAGGTAAACAGGTGAG